GATTTTCATCTCATTCGTTATTCTTCGTGCATAGCACCTGCCATTTGATCCTCAGGGTACAAGCAACACCTCATCATCAATTCCTTGTCAGTTGTACAAGTTTGTGTTAGTCTTTGTAATGCCTTGATCGCCAGTTTTGCAAACCATCAGTCTTAACTTCTGACACTGGTTAATGCAAAGATCAAGAAGACCATTTTCTTGCATACTTTTGCGAGCAGACAGCATGCTATCACGCAACAGTGCCTATCCGGGAGCAGTGTAAAGAAATAGCAGTTTTGAAAAGCTAGTTAAAGTGTAAGCAAACATTGATCATCTCCAGCAGAAGGACTGAGGATAGTAGTAGTAGCTTCCTGTGTCCAGTGAAGAAAACCTGTAGTGGGTGCAAGGATGAAAACTTGATTCAGTTCCACCAAGACACAGTGATGAATTAAACATAGCTCCTCCTGGAAATGGAAACTGGCACCATGAGTATATCCATGATGGCAGAGTACATCTGTGAGAGAGACAGACCTTAAGTAGGAATCCAAAACCTACTACAAATGAGGCAATATGCTCTGGTATCTAGCAGGTTAGATCTCCTGCCCCACATGCCAGTATGTTTCATTGTAAGTTAAGAAAATAATGATGGTATCATTACGCACCATTCTGCTTCTTCAGGGACCAACAAAGGTGCTTAATTTCAAGATTGCAAATACACCTTATGTGAAGTTTAGCAAGTTTATCACCTGCACAACATGGAAAGTGTCCCACAGGGAGCAGGAAGAGGGGGAAGGGCAGCTCGCTGGGGACATGAATCACAATCTGAAGGTGACCCAGCTGCTGGTTGTGCCCTTATTGACCAGGGTGCAGTCCCACAGGTTCTGAGCATCATGGGCAGAGCAGGGTGCTAGCTCCACCGACGGTCCCAGAGACAGTGAGGAATGAATCAGGTCCAGGGCTCATCCAGAGAGGCCTCTCAGGAGCAGCAGGAGTTGGGCCAGAGGCAGGGCTTGTGGCAAGGATGCAACATAGATCCAGCTTCTATTTAGGACACAGAGCAGAGACAGGGAATCCTGGGCCAGAGCTGAAATGGGACTCCTGGGTCATGGGTGAGGGTGCAAGTGGGGCGTGCCAGGGAAGGATGCTCAGGGCAATTGAGGCCTGTAAGTGCCCTCATGACACTGACAGAGAAACGTGTTAGAAACTGTGTTAGGACAGGGCAGAGTGCAGCCAGAACATGGTAAACATCTTCTGAGCCAACTTCTGATCATACCTTAGATTCAGGATAGGGTGGACCAGATATTTAGGATTTCGTATGCAGCTTTTTATTTCTCACTACTGCCATGAAAAAAAGTGAGGAAATTTGGCAGCTCTTGTATAAGCTTTTCCTTAAATTTCCTGCAACACTTTATTTCCTGTAACTTCTAACTTCTATTTATATTTTATGTTTGACATTAAATCTGCCTTTTATACTTCTTCTTTACTTTCTTTCTTATAGAGAAGAGCCTGCCAGAGGTTGGACTCTCACTCAAAATCTTTTTTTTGTATTGTTTTCTAATGCCTCACCCATGGTATTTGAGAGACTGTGGCTTCACCTAAAGCAAAATTTGCAAGGATTTTATGTTTGTAATGTTAAACGCCTTACCAAGGGGGCGTTTGCCAGCAATCATTTTGTAACATGATTTCTCAAACATGGAAGATACTTTCTAAGCACTTAACCTCAGCATAACTAAGTACACAAGCTTCAGTAGTTGTACAGATATGAATATGTAATAGATTTCATTCTTTGCTGAGCTTCGGCTTACAATAGAGTGAAAAAGTGTTAAGCAAAGCTAGAACAGCAACATCAGACACGTTATCTGGATCAGAGAGGATATGCATAGACATCTAATTAAAATAGCTGTCTGTAGTTCTAGTTCCTTTGATTATTTACTCTTATATCTCCAAGTGCAATGAAACTTATTCAAGCAAAACAAACAGACAAATTCAAAATAAGGACAAAAGCAGCTGCTGTGAAGTAGTTAATCTAGACTTGGACTAGCCTTCAAACTCCTTCACAGCTTATCCTGAAAGGAACAAAACATTTCATCTTTCAGAGACAGCAACTAAGACTGTGATGTTATCTTTCTAACAGCACGGCTTTGAACTGTGACATTTATTCTGACTTCCACATTCATTCCTATTCGTAGCTTCATGCTGAAAGAGGACTTCATTCATATTTGCAGATATTCTTTTGTCACTGTTATTCAACCTTTACCTTGAGGCTTTCTTTTCCCCCATAGAAAAGTGTTTTTATGAAATTTGGTCCATTGAATTTCATGATCACTTCTGAGAGCAAAGAGCACTTTATGACAGCTTTATCTCTGCAAAAAAGAGTGTGTGTTAACAGAAGGGATCTGACCAATGCAGGTTCAAATATCTAAAAAATTGTCACTGTTTGAGTGATACTATCTATATGAAACCATTTGAGGGTGTCAAGTTAAACATTTGAGGTGATATTCTACCTCACATAAATTCAAAGTTTTTCTAATGACTTTATGGAGTCTGGATTCTACCTCTTCCTTTTACTTATTGTTCTTCACTGAAAAGATAGATAACTGGTAAATAAAACTGTGAGTAACAATTCCTTTCCTTTTTTCCAATGTAGCAAGTGAGCAGAGAGTATCAAACAGGGGAACAGACCAGAAAGAAGTGACAGGACAAAATGATCTAGTGACTGTGAACACGGTCTGATTGATAAACGGGTATGATCTGAGCTGCTGAGAGTTCCAAAAGATGAACACTGTGCCATACAAGTGCATCGCCTCTGCAGAGCTGGTCCTTGAATCTGAGGGAGGAAGAGAAACCTCTGGGCAGAGAGGGCACAGTTCAGAAGAGGCTTAAGAGGTATTTTTTAGTGATGATGCTTTATGAAAATGAAGTAGCAAGGGGGAAACATAAACATATTTACTGAGAAGAAATATAGGCGTTTAGGTGAAGGGTCATGTCCTCTCAACCCTCTTTTTCCCTATAACAGATCCAGGTGTTGCTGCTTGTCTTCACTCAGCCATCCTTTGCAAGAGCCCAGTTTTCTCCATGTCCCCTTCTTCTTTCTCAGTCATGTTTCTGACATCTGGTTCTTGTATTTTTCTGTGAATATGAGTCTGTGAAGAAGCAAAAATCTTGAAACCCGTCATGCTCCCCTTCCCTCCCAGATGAACAGATTCCTCTGCACTGCAATTTAAAGAGTAAGTAAAGGAGTCCAAGCAGAAGCAGAGAGCTAGAAAAAGAATTGTGGAGGACCCTAAGGTGGTGTATCATTTAAAGGCAATTGTTGAGTTCCCACTGAGTCGTACATGGCTGAACAATGCAATGTCTAATGCCTAGATTAAAGTCTGTCCCTTGTTCAAAGTAAATAAAAGGTGTCAAACTAATAAGAAAAAAAAAATTACCTGTATTTAATGAAAGAAAATTATTGAAACAATTTCAAAAGATAGAGAACCTGTAAGATTAGGCTGAAAACTAAGAAGAATGAATTTTAATTTTGTTAATTAGTTTTCATTTTCTGAGCTGTCCACTTACGACAATAAATACAATTGTACTTTTATAGCCCCTATTTATCCCACTTTTGAATCTTTCAGGATGTTTCCATGGCAACATCACACCAGTTCATCAAAACAATTAGCAGTAACTTTTTGTGTTACCTGACTCGGCATCTCATGATAACTAGTTTATTGGTGAGAAACACTGGGCCCCTTACTGCTCTGCCTAGTGTTTTGCAGCCTTTTGTTCAGTTTGGTGTTTCTATATTCTTCTACATGGTGCAAAAAAATTACTGAAGAGTAAAAATTTTGTTAGAAAAAGACTTACTTATAGGATTTGTGGAATTTACAGATTCCTGTAGAGTCTATCCAAAGATGGACGGAAAGAAACATTATGTTTCAGTTAAAGGAGTCTTGTTGTAGGAGCAAGGAAGGAAACAAATTCCAAGAACAGCAGTCTGTGATTCTTTTTATTTGCTTTAGAGAATGCTGATCTGTGCCAGCTCTTTAGCTAACACAGATTGGTCTGTCTTTCCCAGTTTCGCTGCATTGGCTGGCATGTTGATCCTCCTGCTCCTTTCTCTTCGACGCCTACTCCAGCCTTTCTTACAGGAGGACGAGCAGCGAACCAGAGTTAGTTGCCTCTCCCACTATACACTATACATCTGTGCATGGCTGGAGAGAGAGGAGGCAATGCAGGACGTTGGGTATTCAGCATACCTCCCAGCTGGGACATAAGATACCACCTCCATGTCAATAGCAGAATTTATTCTGCAATGACAATAATTTTAGTCATCTATATTAAAGTGCATCTAAAAAAATGACAAGAGACTACACTGTTTCTTTTTTATATAAAAGGATAAATAGAGCATTTTATTAACACTTTTTGCAGCAACAAAAGTGACACAGTCCACATCTTTTTCATTAAACACAGCAAAAGCTATGGTCACATTTTACATCACTTTGAGGCACAAAGCAAAATATTTTTTTCTTTAAGGTCAAGGTATGATTTGCATTAAAAAAAAGGAGAAGAAACAATCCTCAAGTTGTATATTGCGGTAGCAGGGTTTCCAATCACTAGCACAATACAATGAACAGACCAAGAATCCAGAGTGGATTATTACATACAATAATAATCATTTGATTGAATTAAGAAATGGATCGTTGTTGTCATTTTAGAGTATTAAGAAGTGGTCTGGTGTTGCTAACTCCAGTTTGGTTCAGTTTGGTATAATCCCAACAACCCCAAATATATACAACAAGCTAAACGAAGGTTAGTCTATAGTATAGAAGATTATGAACTTCATAATGCATTGCACTTATTGCTTGGTACACTAATGTTGCAGTCACTGTTGAGTTCTGCTAAAGAGACAAGCGTGATGCTTGTTGGCTTCTTTCGGCCCAACACTAGTTGTTTGCCACTTTGGTTTATTGTGAGTTTATATGTTACTCATATTCAGTGTCCATTATTATTAGGTTTAATTGAAAGACAAATACATTTTTTTATTTCAGGGATTTCTAAAATAGCAACATTTTCTAAAATTACAGTATCTTCAATAAACTTATATCTATGTATACAACTGTGGCACAATGTGTAAAAATATGAAAGCTATTAAGGGAAGAATAAGGGTTAAATTATTCTCTGTTTCTTCTATTGGCTTCAAAATATTCTGCAAAACAAATACATCCTTTTTCGTAGGGCTACTTGCTCACAGTAAATTTCTCTTTGGAATTTTGTAAAAGACTATATCTTTTTCTAGGTTATATTGTTTTTTTTCTCTCTCTCTAAAGACACCAGTACAAAGTTGGAATATACTGCAAAGAAAAGAATAATAAAGCTTGTTTTTTGGTAAAGGGATTTGACGGTCTGCGTGAAAAGTTAGACTTAAAATTATATATTGTTTTTATATTAGTTGATAAATGCAGGGAAGAACATGACAATGCCTATAATTTCATAAGCTTCTGTAAAGAATAGAAATAAGAATTTGTGCCCAAACATTCAGTATAAAACTCCTAAATAATTCCTTTATTCATCACAGAGTAGCCTGCAGCATGTAATCACGATAAACATACAATATGCCCTATTTGTTCTTTAGGCTTGATACAATTACCATTCAAGGAACTGGATCAATCCTCTGTAAATGCCTAGGACTCAACCTTTCTTCTGTAAGAAAGCTCTTGTCTTAGACTTAACACACAATTCCTACATTGCACTGAGTAAACGTGTGTATTTAACACAATCATCTCATTCAATACAGTGTAACAAATATATAAGTGCATTTTTAATGATCAAGTAATTTTGGCTTTCTAAAAAGAGCATTAGATGTGCCAACTTGGTTGCTTAGTTGTGCTTTAATCCGTAGTTATGAATTTTAGCTCTTGTATACTGTATCTAATTGCCTCTATAGTTTTGACCAGTAAACCCTTAAAACTCTAATGTTTATAGAACAAATATAACCTAATGAAAGTGATGACATGTCACAACTCATACAGATTGCACTTTAATGGATTTTTTTTTACAGTCAGACCTTCCTGTTTGATATGTGTTTACATGTTTATACCACATTTTATTTCTGTGTGCAAACAATCACAATGAATTTAATCACAAACACTACAAAATATATCCAATATTTAGGTATGTTATGAATAATCTCCTTGCTTGTAGTTGTATGAGTCTTGTACTTCCTCTTGTACAAATTCCTCTTTTTTCTCCCAACCATTTGGCCAACCACCGTTGACCTGGGTTGTAGCACCATAAGACTTGGTGGTACCATAATTTACATAATTCTGAGTAATGTCCCCTGTCTCTTCAGCAAGTTCATCTTCATGAATAAAGCCACACTTCTCTTCACTTGTCTGTTCAGGATCTGCCCAAGGTTGTTTCTCCCCTGAAGCAAATATGCCATAGAATATAACACCTCCATAATGAACTAAAGCAGCAATGAGGAAGACGTACTGCCACTCTTCACGTGTCTGCAAAGAAGAAATTCGCTGAATCAGACTAGTGCGTAGACTTACCTAACTCTTCTGAGTGGAAAGATTTAAATTACGGATTGAGACAGTGACAGTCAGCACAACTAAAACATTTAAGCGTCCAGTTTCTACTTATTTCTTCCTTTGAAAAATCACTGTTTGTTAGCCTACAAAACCATTGACCTAGTGAAGCATGCTTCAAATTTACAAGTTCCTGGATGGTATCCCCTGGAGGTCTCAGACTCTAATATGGATTTTCTGGCAAGTTGTACTATGGAAAAGTCTTTTTCTTGAAACTAATCGTATTAAACAGGAAGATTTGAAAACTGTATTGCCGTTTACCTTGTTCTTTGTCATTGCTCCGACAATTATAGGGCAAACCATTCCAGACAAGGTCCCGACTCCATTAGAAATCCCCATTAAGATGCTGGCATACCTCGGGGCAATGTCTAAATGGTTGACATTGAATCCTGCAATGCAAAGGTCAGCAAACATTCATACCTAAAGCAGAGCATGACTTCAGTTCTGAAAAGTAATGCTATCACTTGACAATTTTACTATGACATATTTGGGCTGTTTAGTTGCATTTCTTTTTCTCTAAGAGGCTTATGAATGTTTAGAAATTCCTTGAGTGACTGTAGGGTTTCATTTCCTTTAAAAAATAAATTGTAAAAGGATACCAAGTCTATTTTCTCCCCAAAATTGCAGTTTTAAAAGAAATCCTAGTAGTGACTGTGTGGAGTGGAGAACCCAGAAGTTATTTAGGCAGGAAGAAGGTTCATATTTGCGTAGTGACATTTATGAATATTTCATGCTGTAAATAACATGTAATTTCTTCTTCCAGCTAGTACCACTTTCCTTTCCTTTTGCCTGTATTTTTCTTCTTGTCACACAGACCAGCAGAAGGGAGTTCCCTTCTGTTCGTGAGTGATAAGACAAAGGGAGTAAAAAGACAGTATCTATAAATGATTTATTAATTATTTTTATAATTTTTTGTTCTCTTCCATTTCCAGCAGCTTAATTTTGTTCAAAATTATTCCATAACTATTTAAATAATATTAGAAAAAACACATGCCTTTCTGAAGTGACAGAACTCATTGTCCCCAAAATTAGCACTTAAGTAAGTGAAAGCAGAAACCAAATCTTTGGAGACAGAAAGATAACAGAGGGAAAAGGCAGGCAATATGATATGAATAACTGTTAGCGAAAGTGCAATACACTTCTCCTGTTGTACAAAACAGGCAGGATACCTTGCAGAATATGTGAGATTCAGGACAGATTTGGTTAAGGAGAGTGGAGATGTTTGGCACAAAAGAAAAGAGAGCCTGTTTTAGACATAAGGAACCAGCATGGGAGAGGATTCTAAGGTCACAGTGGGAAAACAGAAAGAGGAAGAGCTGAATTCTAAATCAGGAAAAAATTGCTAGCAATTAGGCCCTATAGTAATAAAAAATGCAACATTAACAGAGCATGGAAAAAAATAGTAAAAGGCCAATATTTAAACAAAGACGTGTAAATGTAGATATCGTATAATATCAGTCCATTTCTGTTATATGTTTAATTCCATGAAAAATCTATGATGTACATTAGCACCTCACTGAAAAAAAAGTCCAATTTGCTGCAATCAATATGGAAAAGATTGATGTATTTAAACAAAAATAACCTAATATAAAAGATGTGTTACTGACTGTACTTTCCTTTGCAATGCTCATAAATAATGTCATTTGGAATTCTGAGCTTTGTTTAAATTACTGCCTATGAATAAAAACCAAATGAGATGTTCTATCTCTTAAGATAAAATAGTTTACTAACAACAATAATATAATCTTACCAGATATGGCGAATCCACTAAAGCCTACAGCAAGCACTAAGAATGAAATAGCCACTCCTTTACTGTGGGAATATCCCACCACGAGAAGAAGAGTTGCTTCCATACCAAAACCTGGGGATATTATAAAGAAAACCAGGCATCAGATTTCACTCTCTCTCAAATATTGTGGGCCTTAGGATATGGTAATGTTTCGTAGGAAGACAGAGGCAAAACATTACCTCAGAGTGGAATATAATCAGGCATTTCTTTCATTCCTGAAAAACACACGTTCTTGCTATCTCAAATAATCCTCATTTTACTCTTTGTATGCTAATTTATTGTTACTTCCTGTCAGTTGTAAGGTGAAAAGAAATACTTGTGATTTGGTTAGGTTGTTCCAGTCAGCCCTAATGGGAATATACACTTAACCTGCTTATGAATTTTTCAGCCCTTATCACAGCCAGGGTTCAGCTCATGTGACTTTAACCTCTCCGAAGTCAGACACGCAATCTCAGGTAGCGGTCTCGGCTCTCTTGTGCAGCAGGTGTTTACATGAGGAGCTAAGATTCAGTGAGTCACTAAGGGTAAGCAAATTACCCCCCCAAAAGCTCATCTGTTTCTTGAACAGTCTAAATGCTTTTTCAAATACCAAACATCCGTATTGAAACTGGGAATAGGAACAATTGTGTTTGCATTTATTTACTAACTACACCTGTAATACACAAAAAATGCAGAAAATATTACTTCATAAGTACAAATACCTATGCAGTTTGTTTATTGTAGATAGCACCCTATATGGACATTGAATCTGTACAAGGAGCTTGTTAATAAAATAGGCAGACTTACCTCCACAGTTCATTATCTTTCTCACAGTAGTGGTTGAAAGAATCTGCCTGCTTCTTAAAAAGTCTGCAATTTGTCCCCCAATAGGAACAATAATTGTCATCACTAAATGTGGCACAGCAGATAAGATACCCACCTAAAATAAACGTTAGAAGTGGCAGAGTATAAACCATGAGAAAAGATTAATTTTTCATTTCCTGAAGTATTCAGCAACAAATTAAGTGTTTCTCTTCAATTTCAGGCTATGTGCTAAAACTAAAAATCTTAACTTGGTTTATTAAACGAACAAAAATGGTGATCTTAAGTTGTCATTGTATTTTATGAAGGACTGACAGAGTTTTCAGAATCTCTGATGCCGTGACACTTTGTGTTTACAGATTGTTTTCACAGTTTATGTTTAAGCCAAAGGCTTTTTCCCCCTGACTTATAGCCCTTCTTCCCTTTCTTTTCAGAAAATTTATGATAAAATGTGTTGAACTGAGTTGCCACCTTCCTGTTGATGATGTGTTTGGCGTAGCATTGCCCAGCAAACCTAACATGACCACACAGATTCCCTGTGGATCATCCTCACATACACAACAGCAATTTGCCTTTGATTTCTGACTTTGCCTCAAGCTTCAAATTTCACATGGGCAAAAAATATGTCTGAGAAACTCTATACATAGGAAAAGATAACATACTAAATATCCATTGACAATATTCAAAATACTAGCAAAGTAAAACACAGCAATATTGTGATGACTGTCCCAAAACATGGTAGTGTATTTGAAGACTATTCCTTCAAAGTGAGTGTGGCACGAGCTGCCACCTGCTATCTCCTGGTGACGTAACTGCCTTGCAGACAGTTTTGTTTAGTGTGCATGACATTTTGTTCTAATAGGGAATTCTGATTATTGTGTACATCTGAAAATGTGCTTATACCCAGGGATTTTTGCATGATTCCTATCTGAACAGTGTATCAGCCTGGCTTTATGTCTGGCTTAAGTTATGTCAGTATGCAGAGCAGACAGGTACCATAAGACCAAAAACAAAACAAGTTTTCTGTACTCTTCAGTCAAAGTTGTGAAAGTGTGTATTTAATGGCAGTTTGTGTATGGGCCAACTATATTGTGACAGCTAGCTGCACGTTAACAGGCATTTCTCCTGATAGGCCAGATATTAACTATAGGTAACTACGGTATTGCCGTTGTTGCTGTGAGGTATTCCTGATTGATTGATAACTATTTGTTTATGAGCATCTGTATCCACAGCAGATGAAAATGGACTTTGCTGTCGTTGTTTACAAAGCTCCACATTTCTTTGAATAGACTCTAAGAAGAATCTCCTAGAACAAAATGCTCAGATTAATTCTATAGGATGTGGCCATTCTTATTGCATGCATGACAGATGATGCTTCAGACATAGCAAACTTCTTAAAAAAACTCCAGCTAAAGATGGAAGCTCATCTTTCAATGCAGGATGGCGTTACATTAATTTCAATGGTACTCCATAATACAGCAACACTTTGGAAGCTACTCGTGTAATTGTCACTTACACCTCAATTTAGGGTGACTTTATACCTCCTGCAGCAGTATCAAAAGAACACAGGTCTTGCAAAAGCACAAGCTCCCATCGCTTTCACAAGAAGGAAACCTGTATAAGTAGAAAGCTTACTATGCACTCTAAAGGCTTGTTTGTCTGTATCCATATTTACCTTATAGGTCTGACCCAAAACTCATGAAAAATGTGGAATCTTAGATCATCCCTACACCTCACATTTTGCACCATGTCTTTCACTTTCTAAGCAAAAATGGGGGAGTAGTTCTTACCACATTAAAGGGGACTATAGAAAGGTGATAAAATTGTACTATCCTTCCTAAAACTAGGTGGCTCTGCTTTGTAAATGCACCTGGAAAAATGGAACCACTTGTCAATGCCTTCCATACAGCTTCAGTGGGGTCCTGCATCCCCTGGGGTGTCAGGGACAGAAGTGTAAAGGGTCCCTCGACACCTTCCTAATACCACGCAAGATCTGATTTCAAGCACTTAACTGAAGGTCTTTTTTGCAATATGGCCCCGAGCAGATCATCACTAAATCTCATCCTACCTTCCCCTTCCCCCACCCAATGCCTTGTCATTGTTACTTCACTTGTTTGCACTGGTCAAGGGAACAGTAACAGGGAGGGATAATATTTAAGACTTGTAAATCCATGATAAAGATGCAGAACACTTTTCTTTCCTCCTCCTAATAAATACCACCAGTGTAGCTCTGATATTTACTTAGATTAAGATAAAAGCTTTACATTCTTTTTACATACCTTGCTTATCTCAAATCCAAACACTTCCTCAAAGTAAGCAGGCTGACTAATAAGCAGCAAGTAAAAAGTCCAGCTTCTACAGAAGTTTGCAACAATTATTGCATAGACTGGCATAGATGTAAAAAATTTTCTCCATGGAGTTTTGTATTTCTGAAACACAGAAAGGGGGAATCCAGTCAACATTTTGATCATTATCAACTCTCTGTCTTCCCTTTTTCTATCTGTTATTTTTACCTATACTCCAACAAGCTCAGATACGTACAGCTTTATGTATCTGAATTCTGGGGACTTCAGTTATCATAAAGTACATGCATCCACATTTGGATGATCAAAATTTATTTGAAAAACGTAGGCAAGTAAAAACTACTACAAAATCCAAAAGTGGACAAACTCAGTGATACTTAGCTGCATCACAGCACTCATGTAAAAGTGCCATTGTCTCAATCGTGTAAACATGAACATACTAAGTCCAAAATAATAACGTGTCTTTAAAAGAAAATGTTGCTGTAGCTAAGGCAACAGTCAGATTTTACACTGTAACTGCACTATTTCATCCAGATTTATTTTAAGCATTTATTTTTGCATTTAAATCTTAATCTCAGCTTTCTGAACAATTTATTATCAAGCCTGAGCTAAAACTGCTTGGTCAATATATTTTTTGTTTGTTTTATTGTATTTTTAAAATGAATTGCATCATGAAAAAAAATGACAGATGGACAGAACTACAATCCTGCTGAGTCTCAGCACCTCTCCACGAGCCCAGGATTCTGCCCATCTGTGTTCGTCCAAATACAGGATCCAGACCCACACGAGTTTGTGAAAATCATTTCAGCAAGGTTTGAGGCTGAATTTGGTCTACTGTTGATTTGAATACCGGCTTTGCTTCAAAGAAAACCAGCCCATAGATAGATATATGCAATACGTTGTATGCCTATTAAATTACACATAAGTGAGAGCTAAGAATTAAGGGTGACTTCACTCACAAGAAGCCAGCCAGAAAAGATAACTTGATACTGTGGTAAGAAACTAATCACTTCCAAAATTTTTTAATTGAAAAGCAACAATAAAAAATAGAGAGAAATTATCCAGCCCAAGTTAGGACTATATAGTCATCCTTTGAAATATCTTATTTCACATAGGATTTTCAAAAGCACTTCCAGGTATAAGAAACCATGAACACTGCTGAATGCTGTTAACTATCAACCCAGACACTACCTCAAGGACACCTAGCAATGCCAGCTATCAAAAAAATGACTCTGTAATATTTCCAGTTCCCTATTTAATCTAGATCAAAAATTTTTACGAAGAGAATAATGCTTTATTCCTGACTTCTGTCAAGAACCAATGATCTGACCAATTAGAAAACATAACGAAAAGTCATAGTAAGGGTAAACCGGGAATGGATGGTGTAAAAACTTGAGCAGATGAAATAAGGCTTAGGAACCAACATTTTTCACTATGTTGAGTTAGTAAGCATGGTAATAGTTTCTTTAAAGCTTTTTAATAGTTAGAGAAATAAGAAAACTATTATTTATTGTGATAGGATTATCAAGTGGCTGAAGAAATCTCTGAGTTCATTGCTGTTTTTTCAGGAGTTCTTGAAAACTAAACCAGTACAGAACAAAGTCAGATTGGGAGAGGCTTGATAGCATGTTTCCAGCAAAATTACCACCATAATGGGGAATGTTCCTAGGACTCTCCTAGCAGGCTCTGTCGCAGCTTGCAGTCTTTGTTGCAAATGAAACCTAGAATAGTCAGGGTTTGCTGTTTCCCTGATGTTCTGAGGACCACAAGAGACACTGAGTAGTGCTTTTCCTCCACTTTACTTTTAGGAAGAGCAAAACCTTCCAGAAGGAATTATATAGGAAGGAAGTGAACCACTTGAGCCCAAGGTACTATGAGAGTCCCAATAAAGCTGAAATTTCAAATGTAGCTGTAGGGTTTTTTTAAACTTTGGAGTATAAAAAGAGGCACAAATTGCATGAGTGATCCCCTAGAAGAACTGGAACCTGTAATCTCTTTTTGTAGAAGCAATATCCACTCAGAATTCCATCAGCAGATTTCAGATCTCCCCACCCCCAAAAATGTTCAATTGTTTGAAGCATGCTTTTATGTCTTTAGAAAAACAGGGTGTTGGATTTTTTGTTGTTGTGGTTTCGATTTGGTTTTGGGGTTTTTTTTTACTCTCTCATAGGGAACAAGTGTGTGAGTAGTATTCTTACTTCCATTGCACCTAGGAGGTTGGCACTCTCTCCAATACTTTCTTCTATGTATCTCCTTTCTTCATCTGTGATTGTAGGATGCTTTGCAGGACTCTCATATGAAACCAAAAGCCAAAACATGTACCAGACTATACCAAAGCTCCCTTTGGAATGGAAAGAAAGGCTTTAAAAAGAAATGCACAATAAAGCAGCAAACAAAGCAAAAATACGTGAAAAATTATGACAAATTTAAATGGCAATTGTTACTGCTTCTCTATTGAGTCATTCCAACATTCAGACCCTGCAAATGACATTTGTGCAAAATACATGAAGAGTTGGATCACAGTGAAGTCATCTTTGTTTCATTTACAGAATGATTTCACTGTAAGTGAATATTCACTCATCTTTTAACATTAATTTGTACAATGCAATGCAACGAAACGGCTTGCATTTCATTTCACCTGACTGTAAATGAAGTTCTATTCGGCTTTAAGTCTCTGTTGTTTGATTACTGCTCTAATTCTTTTACTCGCTAAATACAAGATTGTGGGATTGTTTTCAACATAGCAATGCACTGCCTGAGTAGTTTATTAAATTTCTGTAAGGTTTCCCCCTAATTCACACCAATTCTACACTGCAGAATGAACTCCTTTGGGCCATTCTTTTCCATCACTGTAAGCTAAGGTAGCACAACTAGTGTGAATTAAGTTATGTAGGTCTTCAGATAAAAATCAGGACATCCTAGTCAGGGCAGGTACTCTAAACTTCTAGTTCTATAAATGACAGAGTGACATTACATGATCTGCAACTCGATAGATCTGCACAGCAGTTTGCACTAGTTGTACTAGAAGTGATGAAGGTTTCACCGTGAACTAGCTTCTCTTCTTGTTTAATAACGTTGCTTTCCTACTCTCTCCTTTAAATTCTGTTCTTTCATTTTCCTTTTCTCTAGACTGTATTTTTAGCTTTATGGGCTCACATATATTCTTCTTGGCCTCTTAACGGTAGCTTTTACATTTTTAGAAAAGGTAGAGTAAGGCCATACAATACTGGAGTGAGATGAGCAAAAATGCGTACCGTACACATAGAACACAGAAGACCACCCAGTATATTGCACTAGAATCCCAGCTAAAGGCATTGCAATAACAGCTCCTGCATAGGAACCTACAAAACAAGACGAGTGTGGATGAAAAGGGAGAAAAAATCAGTCTCAAAATACTTCTACGTGACAAATGAAAGAAAGACAAAAATAGAAAGTTACTTACCACAAAAGGAAGTGGTTGCTAACCTACTTCTTTCTAATGGGGGGGCCCACTTGCTCCAAATACCATGGCAGGCAGGGTAGGTGACCCCCTGGGGAATGGGTGCGCCACAAGTTAGCTAATGCGGATCAGTCACTCAGTTCATTGTCTTTGCATTGTTTTTTTTTAATTGCTACAAACAAGAAGTTGAGAATGCTTTGCTTTTCTCTAGCAAAGTCTGAGCACAGCCATAGAAAAACTTCAATTTCTATTAAAATTGTGCACCACTCCAACTCATTTATGAGGCCTTATGAAACAGATATAAAACATAACTATCTCTTTTTTCTCCCCTCCCCTCTTCCAGGAAAGAATTGCAAAGAATTAAAAAGAAAGAATCTTAATGCACAATTACCAGAGTCAAAGGAAGGATGAAAACAAGACCCTCTGGAGTCTTTCTAATGCTGGGCTCATTTCTCCAACTCTCTGTTTTGGTGGCCTTCTAACATTTTTTGATCTAACATTTAAAATATAATTTAGGAAATGCAGATTACTGTTCCACTGCTCTAAAATTAGAAAATAAGATCAATAAGAGCTTAAAAATACAATGTTATGAGAGAATTTTTCACTATCTTTGACTTTAATGAACATTCTTGAGCACTCAAAGGAAATAATTGAATGATGTTTAGTTGGTTTGATTTTAAACCAGTTACTTTTTAGGTCTCTCTTCAAAACCAGCCTTGAACTTAAAAACAGAAACACTAAAACAAACGAACAAACAAAAAACATTACATCTTGAAGTGCTGAAATTTTAGAAAATGTGGTATGATATGTACAGTAATTTTCCACAAAACTCCTGCTTAAGAATTATTATGATGTGTGCATAGTTATATAGATTCACTTTGCTCTTAATCTGATGTTTTGTTTCCTATGCAAAATGTAGAAAAATTAATAACTTTTTGCAAATATTGAGGTTATCATAAATGCTGAGATTATCAGTCTCAATATCAAAAGATTGTAAAATACATTCTTCTGCCTTGAAAGAAGGTCCTATAACCAATTTCATGTTCATCTCAGTCATTTTGTCAATTTTTCAAAAAAATATAAATTCGTAATCTTAAGATTGTCATGATTTATTGTAAACCTTCTTCAAATGGTCCTGTATGGGATGTTTTGCACTCACAATTCCTATGAACAGTATCACAGGAATGAGTGGGTCTAAAAGAGTTGTTTTATTTTGTGACTACCCACTTGCTTCTGTTCCTCTCCTCTTTGCAGGCAAGCACACCTCTGTACATACAGATCACTTTTCAGGAATGGATAATGGATCCATATTTATACATGTATACTTTAAGAACTTGATTGACAGCTACCTAACTTTCAGGCACATTCTGCACCCTCTTTTGGAGTCTCTTTATACAATAAAGTACAGGAGTTAAATCAGCTCATGCAACAGAAGTGTGTAGCCCTGAGGAACAAAGAACCAGCGATCACAGGCCTAAAAATCTGTCTGTCAGAAAAGAAACAAACAAACAAATAAATTTAGAAATGGGCCTCAATTTTTTTTCCTATTTTAAATCATGGGAAATCTCTCATTCATACCAGAAAGAGCATGGTCAGGGCCTATGACAGAAACTTACTTCTTTATTGTATATTTAATCTGTGAGGCTGGACAGCAAATAACTGTTGAGAATAGCACCAGTATAAACCCTATGCAGTACAGGATTTCAGTGAAACTTCAGTGTTAAATACATATCTCACTGTCTTCTCAGCAAGGGAAGACTTCGCTGTGTAATTTTATAGATGAAGGAAAATCAAATAGCTGTGATTCGTACATTGAAATCTATTACACAGTAATAAACTGACAGCAATTTTTAGTTTCCCCTGAAAAGTTACAATTGCTTATTAAAAGCTAACAAGCATCTATCACTTATAGTTATAATTTTTCCATACCTCTACAAGGCCCTGCAAGATCCTAACAAAGATGACACACCCATAGTGCACCCTGGCTGCAGACGGTATTAACATGTTGAGGGAGGATGTCAGCAGTATAGCAGCACCAAATACTCTGCAAAGGTGGGGAAAAAAAAGGAAAAGAAGTAACTTCAGTGTTGTTCCAATTGATTTATTCTACATACACTCACATGTCAATATAGATGTATTTAAACATATGTTCTTTACATAGGGAATATACTAACTGCTGGAGTAAATTAGTGTCTACTTCCATCTAGTGTAATAACCTGTCTGGTAAGACCCATACCAAACATGGACACAGACATCTATTTAGCATAATTTCCTAAGGAAATAGGTCTTATGCAATCACAGGTATAGATCTTACTGTCCCTATAAATCCCCACTCTTCCCTTTTATTTTCACATCTATTTCAACCAAACCTGACTGAATTTGCCAGCCTGTAGAGAAATTAGAAATTGGGTCTCCAAATGGTTTGTTAAGACAGGTGGCCAAGTAAAACAGAGATTCTCATTAGTGCTTTAATTGTAAGAAGATGGCACCATACATTCACTGCTTACAAAGCAGAAGAGAATCCGCTGTTCTAAACGCCAAAGCAACAGGAAGAATTTCAAACAGAGCTGGGATAGTCTTAGACACAAGAGTTAATCAATCTGGAAACACATATCCATAGAAAACAGATCATTCTTTCTGCTGGTTTTTCAGGGGCTACTCATTGAATATCGCTGATTTTGATCCCAACAGCATCCTAGGAATTGCTTCAATTAAAGCACATTTCAAGGTCTAAATAAGTGTGTGAAGTGATTTAATTTTCAAAATTCCACTGCTTTGACTAAATTTTAATTGAATTCAATTAATGTCTGCCCCTTTTAGAATGAAGCCTTTTCTCTAGCATTGTTATATCTTTTATTTATGTTCATTCATTTCTTTATTGTGGAAATAATCCTTTCTTTCCCCCCATTTTCTTTTCGGTGGAACTATGCAAAAGGATGAAGCCAGTAGCAATGACTGGCCACTTTCTTTACACAAAACTGTGTAATGCTAAGACGAATCCTGGAGACATCTTAAAGACAACATCACAGTATCTGATGTGGAACTGATTTGACAGAAACCTTTAACCTTAGCATGTGTTCTTCAGAAATTGGTACAGTGCCATAAGTTAGTGAGAAACAGACCTTGGGCTAAAGAAGCAGGAAGCAGTGCTAAGTTCCAGGATGAAAATTCTTCCCAATGACATCTATGTTTCACATTCTCTAGTTAGAATTACAGCCTGATACGAATCTTTAAATAGCAAACCGAACATACTCCACTTCTATTTGACAAATATTAAAGGGCAGCAGAAAAAAATCTTCCTGGCATGGTAAGGAAGCTTTGTTAAATAGTTCTAAATCTGGTCTCTCATTGTGTTTCCTGTGATCCCCATCCCGTGTTAAACAAGATCTAGCTGGCTGTGCAGCACATTTCTGCCTTTGTTTGGCAGCATGTTCAATACATTTACTGGGCCTGACTGGTGCATGTGTTTGTGTTGCACTGTGTGAACTACTTTGGCCTGAATCTCTTTTTAGTTTTAATTTCTTTATGAGTAAGATTCTACTCCGAAAGTACATGCAATTCATATCCTTACATTTTAATACCCTCCATATGTTCACATAAACTACAATGGTATCTTGGTTTTTTATTTGCTTTTTTCCTTTATTTATTAAGGAGAAGAGTTTGAGACTCACAGGAACTTTGTTTGTGATTTTTACAAATTCTTTTAGAATGTTAGGTGTCCCTGTTATCAGTTTTTGAAGAGCAATAGATTGTAACGGTCCTAAATGTTTTTTGAGAAATTCCTTATTTGATGTAAGCAGGAAGAAAGGACTGTTTGGTTTGCAGCCTTTCCTATTTCTTTTCTAAACAGATGTTTAGCTAAATGCCTAATGCAGCAAGACGGTTTTACAGTTGTGACTGTGCATAGACTTGCTGGAGCAGATTCATAGCTAGTGTGAATCAGTGCAACTCCTTCTAAATCCCTGTTCATGTTAAAAGTGTGCTAAGATAGAATATTAAAAAATGTCATCTCTTTCTAAGGATGAGATTTGCAAAATTGTTATGGTATGTAACTGTTTCTTTGAGGAAATTTAATCTAGGTTTTTAATCCTGTATCTGAAATCAGCTTCTGTTTGCAACAACTGAAAGCTGTTTTTCCTAGGATTGCCTTTGTTCTTGTGTTTATGAAAGAGAAGCTGTTTCCTTGAGTCTGTTCCTTCTAGAAGAGAAAGGAAAATGTAATCTGAGGAATGATCAGAGACATACATCTTCCCAAAGAAAATCTTGCCTGTATTTAGACATGCAAGTACCAGTGAATATTTAGTTACATTGAGGAGCAGATGATGCACTAATTCCACAATGCCACTTGTAAGTCAATTCTTGCTCAGAACTATGCTTTATTGGAACAGACTTCTCAAAAACAGATCAGTTTTTCACCCAAAAAGTCTATGGATTTAAGGGTAGAATAAATTAGAGTTAAATTATCATTCTTGTCAGAAATGGCTTTTTTATCCTTTTTCTTGAATGCATATGAAAAGCGATACCATGAATTTAGGGCATGACAGTTTTAGTGAGTCAGTTTCCTTTATAACTCTTAGTCAAGGGGAAATACATATTCCTACATTTGCTTTGCATCTCTCAATGCACATCCATAAATATAATCAGTATTCCTCCTTCATGTTCTTTTGTCTTGTTACTTTTATTTTACCTCCAGAAACACTAAATTATTCTTCCCCAAAGAGTGTTGTGATAGAGTTCTGGGTTTTGTACAAACCTCCCATTTTATTGTTTTAAATATCTCATCTAAGTAAATTTATTATGATTTAGATCAAATGAGATTATTTCCAGCTATGATAAATCTGAATATATTTTAATGATGCTCACATTCAAATATATTTAATTGGGAAATGGAATATTCTGGTTGTTCCTAAGGCATTTCTAAGGTGCTTGACTGACCCACACATCAAACCCCAAACTTATGATTTTCTTTTTCCGTGCTTACCTTATTGTTATATTTATTAAGCTAGAGATTTTATGACCTGTTATACTCTTTAGCTTCATTTCTGCTTCTCAGACAATTCTCATTTGCTCAATCTTGCTGCAATGTTAACTCCAACTTTGGGTTAGAAACCATATTTTTCTTGAAGATCCTTATGTTTCCATGACAAATCGACAGTATGTGGGGTTCCATAGCTGTATTTATTGCAACTGAAGATGGATTATGTTCATTCTCAGACAGACATGGTTTCCTGTTTAAAATAAGACTTCCAGCCTGTTTAGGAGTGTTCCTTCCCATCCCAAATCCCACTGCATTTTTTATACATGTATCTGTTTGTCCTCTTGATATTCCAATATCACCTAGAAAGGATAAGTATGGCCCTTATGGGATACACAGTCTTACAGATGCCATGCCCTGCTGTGCATTTCTTCAGCCACACTTTCTGCAGTGGCACGGGCTTATGGAGCAGGCTTTGTCCCTCAAGCACAAACACCACTAGAGCTCAGGTCTCTTACAGACTCAGCCAAGCCTTGCTGCATGTCCCTTGGGTTGAGCTCAGCCTAGGAAATCCATGAAGCTGTGCTGCTGAATTTTCATTCAGAGATATCCCTGAACATCCTTTTCATGCTGGCAACACTCCAAACCCCACAAAACATGTTTTAATGCCACAGCACAAATGAAGAGCTTTAGCAGATTGAAGGTAAACTCTGGGAAAACTACACTATGCCACAGAGACAGAGCAGGAGAGGACAATGACATTGCCATCATTCTTGGCCCTGGAATGGAGGTGAAATTAAAATGCCTTGACATACCTTCAGCAGTCCCTAGACTTGGGGGAAAATTCCCTTCTGACCCAAAATCAGCAAATGTGTAACTATGTATGGAAGAAGATAACCATATACAGAAGATGACAAATTAATAAATACAGTTGTAGTATGTCAATGAAAGGAAAAATAGGTAAATCCTGGCCTTCATAAGTGACCAGAATAAGCCCTGAAACAAAGAATTATGCTTTGTTTATCTATTTCTAGACTCGGTAGACTCAGTCCCCAAAGACAGAATCTAACGTTGATCCTCAGTGTTTTACTGACATTGGCATTATGTGAAGGTCATGAGCTGTGACTTAGTCCTCCTGTAATATAAGTAGTAATAACAGCAAAATCATATTTGACCAAGAGACATTTGGGATGGGAGCAGAGGAAGGAAATGACTCTGACAATTCAGGAAAAATGCTTAGAATGGAATGGGATTGCAGAGGGAATTAATCTTTTTGGGTTTCAAGCCAATTGGCTCATTTTTTTCTTTGGGGACAAACTAAAGAGAAAGAAATGCATTTGTTTTCACCTCTGGATTTCTCATCTCTGCATCTGTGCAGTCCCACTATTCTCATCTACTTTTTTCAGGCATTTTGTATTACATGAGCATTCTGCATGGAAGTGCATTATAGATATTGTTACTTGGCTGGAAGATGTGCCAGATCAAAAAGGGAGCTGAGAACAGTGGGAGCAGAGATATGTGCCAAATGCTGAATGCCAGATGGGTGACATATTGGGTTACTCATGTGATATTTGAAAGTGAGGGGTCCTGGTTGGAAGCATCCTTTTACCCCAATGACTGGGAGTGAAAATTGCTACAAGGATTCCATAAAGCTAAAATTCCTTTCATATGTATATGGGGGGCAGTCAATTCCTCAGTTGTCTGAATCCCAAGTATTTCTATTTATGGGGTTTTTTTATATAATTGACAAATTTCACAATAATCTAAGTCTCTCTGTTCTCTGCATAAGTGGTCCAGCTTTGTGAAAACGACACTGTTATGGAAATCAAATAATATGTCTTCTAATGCATATGAAGTACATTAACTAAAGTTTATCCTTTAAAAAAATAAAATCAGGGAGTAATTCTGTATGTTCAAATCAGCATTTTTTAATGTTTATTTAAAAGATAAAATATTTTAGGTTTGAGATGCTTAAATATATGCTGTATCACTGAATTGTGAATGCCATTTCATTAAAATCCAAAATAATTAAAGAATACTAAGTATCGGTTACTGACAACTACAAAACA